GACACTACAATCTCTACTAAGGGCCTGGCCACACTATTAACTCAGGAAGTAGTTGTGAACTTTTAGGCTTATTAAAAACAGGGTGGTAATGTAAAATAATAATAATAATAATAAAGCTCATGTAAAAATAAATAAATAAAATTTAAAAAAAAAAACAGGGTGGAGAAACAAAGGGTATGTTTTCCGTGAATTAAATGTGTGTTCTCTTCCCATTTGAGTAAATGGAAAGGAATCCAAAACCACCAGATGAAACCCCTCAGGCCTCTTTTAGAGTTGTTCAAATCCCCCATGCCTTTAAAATGTGGCCCACTAGAGGGACTTGGATTTCAATGTGTTGCCGAGGGTTGAGAATGCTGTGGCCACAGATTATAATGGCCTGGCTGAAGCAGCTAAATTCATAAAATCTAGAGGGGTTCTGAGTCTGTACTAAATACCAGCCATGCATTATGCAATGTTAGAGTTAGAAAGTCAAAGATCCTCTATCCCAGCATTGCTACAGTATATTTTACAGAATATGCAGAAGTATTCAGTGAGTTAATCCATTTTCTGCTAGGCAGAAAAAAAGTTTTTAATAATCTAATAGTAAAAACCTTTTTAAAGCACATTTTATTCCTCTCTTGGTAGATGTCAATTAATATATTCAAGAATCTGAGAGCTCTTACAGGAAGGAAGTCTGTACACTTTACCCAAACTTATTTGATCATGGAACCCCTTTTTCTTTTGTGAAATGTAATATCCCATGTATATTAGTAAGGGGAAAGGCTAAACTTATAACAAAGAGATACAATAAGATATGATGACTTAAAAGAATATTTTCTGAGAAAGACTTGGGGGGATTCCACCAGTATGTGGAGAGAGAGAGGACAATCAACAGGAAGACCTAAAGCTAGAGTGGAGCAGACACTGAGAAAACATTTGAGCAAACAAATGCACACATACACACCAAACATATCACTTGAAGTGCACCCAGTGTACTTGGGGTAACCATAGCAACAACAAGCCCAAGGATCTGTACACAAGAAGACTAAGACAAATAGTAATTGTAAGAATTAAGACTAAAAGCTCCCCCCTCCTTATTTATTTTATCTTTAAATAAAGATAATGACTATTTAGCTTAAAAATTATGACAATATGTTATAATTTCTGATTTATGACCAATTAAAATGGATGAGAACAACAGAACAAAGACCAGGAGGGAAGAAATTGAAATACTGTATTGTAAGTCCCTTATGTGTATAGCAGCACAATAACACTTGAAGGTTCACTGTGATATTATAAATTCTGTAAACTTTAAAGCAAACATGATGGAGTCACACAAATAAGCCAACAAGTGAGATAAAATAGAATTTAATAAACATATCTAAGAGCTGATAATGAAAGAGGAAATGTGAAACTAAGAACAGAAAAGTAGAAACTACTTACCAAGATATTAAACATTCTCGTATCAATAATGAAGTAGTCTAAACATCTCGATTAAAAAAGAATGATTTGGCCAGGTGTGGTGGTGAAATTCCTGGCTGGGGAGACTGAGGCAAGAGGATCACAAGTTCAAAGCTAGCCTCAGCAAAAGTGAGGTGCTAAGCAACTCAGTGAGACTCTGTCTTCAAATAAAATACAAAATAGGGCTGAGGATGTGGCTCAGTGGTACAGCACCCCTGAGTTCAATCCCCAGTACCAAAAAAACAAAAAAGAATGATTGTCGAACTGGATATTAAAAACAAAATTTAAAAAGCCATTCTAAGTATAAAGTTATAAATAGATTAAAAGCAAAAGGATAGAAAAGGTTATACCATGCTAATGCTAACCAGAAGAAAGCCAAAACGACTATGTTAACACAAAACAGTCTCAGAACAAAGATGTTTTTTAAAAAAAAAAAAAAAAAAAAAAGTCACTTCAAAATGACACAATGACCATCCCACCAAGAAGACCTAATAATGTTGGCTGTTTGTGTGTCAATAATAGAGCCTCAGGACAAATAAATCAAAAACAGAATTGCAAGGAGAAATAGAAAAACACAATTATATTCAACTATTTCGGTTCCTGTCTTGCAAAATTGATAAAACAAGTAGAAAATCAGTGAGAATACAAATTATAATTGACCAATTTAACCTATGAACATCAACAGAACACTGGATTCAATAATAGATTGGACATGTCCTTCCCAAGTGCACTAGAAACATTCTACAAGACATCCCGTTGCAATAGGATGAGCTGTGTCCTTCCCCTTCACCACCAAATGCATCTGCGGAAACCTTAACCTCAGTACCTCAGAATGTGATTGTATTTGGAGATAGGGTCTTTAAGAGGTTATCAGGGTGGACATTAATTCAATATGACTGATACCATTATAAGCAAAGGAGATTAGGGCATAGGCATGCACAGAGAAATGACCACAGAAGACACAGAGGAGAGAGCCCTTAAAGGAATGAACCCTACTAATACCTTAATTTCAGTTATCTCTGTTATCTAAGTCCCCTAGCCTGTGGTACTTTTGTTCTGGAACTTCTCACAAAAACCATGGTCAGAAAAATGTGTCTCCATAAATTTGTAAAACTTAAATCCTGTATTTCCAATCATGAAATTAAATTAGAAATCAGTAAAGAAAGATCTTGAAAATTCCCAGAATTGTTTGGAAATGAACCTACTCTATTTTAAATAACTGTAAGCTGAAAATATCAGAAAGAAAATAAGGAAGTATTTCTAACTAAGTAAAAATGGAAAGATATCAGAATTTGTGGGATCCAGATATAGAAGTAATTTGAGGGGAATTTATAGTAGTACACATTTATTAGAGAAGAAGAAAAATCTCTAACCAGTGACCTCAACTTCCAACTTCAAAAACAATTAAAAGAAAAACAAACAAAATGCAAATTAAGTAGAAGAAAGAAAATAATAAAGACCAAATGGAAATCAATTAAATAGAAAACAGAAGAACAATAACAAAACTATATTTTGATTCTTTGAAAACATGAATAAGATTGATAGACATCTAGTTAGACTGATCAGAGAAAAAAGAGAAAATGCAAATAATCAATATTAGTAATAAAAGAGGTGACCTCACTTCATATGCTACAAATATAAGACTAATCAAGGAATATGATAGTTTTTTGCTAATAAAACAACACTTAGTTAAAAGAAAAAATTCTTTAAAATAATAAATCACTTGATATTGTGATAAGAAACACATATTTTACTTCTGTCCTCGGTTCCTTACAGATCTCCTAAACCCTTGTTAATAGGGTTGCTAGGAGAAATTTTATTCTAGTACTTGGTCTTTGATCCCAGTTGCTGACACAGAGCTCCTAAAACTGTTGTATTCGTTTCTTACAAAAGGAGAACAATTTTCAGAATTTGAAATATGCCTTCACAGGTCCCTGCAATCCAGCAAATATTTTGCCTGTTAATGGACAGTGGGGATGATCTATAACCTGGCTTCAACCACTTCTGAAACTCCAGCTGTGACATCTCATCTTTAATCAAAGGCAGGAGCCCTGAAGAAACACGCCAAGTCTCTGATCCTCTAAGTGCCTGCTCAGGAGCCTGGTTCTAGACATCCTCCAGGAAATATCAGCTGAACTAATGTCTCAAAGCCACCCAGCCCTTACCAAGTGTCAGGCCAACACTTGCTTCCAAATGCACCTGCCTATTTCAAAGCCTTCAGGGAAGAAAGACTAAACTCCTGTCTGGCTTCTTCAGTCTCTCCAATGTGGCACCATCTTGATCCTATTCTCCACTGCTCCCCAGTACCCTCCAGTACCTTCCAGTCAAACCTGTCACCACTCCTGAGATTTTCCCCCTGTTGATCAGCAGAAGACAAAGACTTCAGGCCACATAAGCCATTAGTAAATTCTTAATCTGTTGTGTGATGTTGGGTGGTTTAGTTACCATATTAGTAAAACAGAGATTTTAAAAATTTACCATGTAGAGCTGCCTTATGCATTACAGAGTGTCAAACACAACACCTCTTAAAATCCTAGCTTAAAGATCCTAGCTTCTCAATCCTGGATGCATAGCCCAGCTTCTTCGTTTATTACCTTGACCTCTCTGTGCTCAGCTTCCCCATCTGAAACATGGGAAGGCAATTATAAAAACTGCCCACACCCAGGAACCATGAGGCTTAAATGGAATAAGGAGAGCACCTGGCACACAACATCTACTAAATTATTGTCTGTGGAATGAATTGACTAGAAGATCAGAAAGCAGGTAGTTGCTAAAATTAGGCACGTTTTACCATAAAAATTCCATTTTGGAACACACTGTAAGCTTTGGTAAGTTTGCTTGATTAGGGTGTTTAGGACAAAATAGTAAGATAATTGTAGCTAAAATTGTTTTTCAGAAAATGATCTGAAACTGTGTGCTAAAAGCCACAGACCCACTCATGGGGTGGGGAGGTACCCTAATACACGGCCTACATTTATTCCTCACTCAGACTCACAGCCTTGAGACAGACCATCACTGTTTTGTCTAATTACCAGAGGAAGGAGAAAAACTGGAAAAAAAGTTGCCTTTCAAAGATATTGCGTATTTTCTGTGTTCCAGGAATTCAGGTTCTGTAAAAACCACTTGGGTGTAGGCATTACTATTCCAATCATAGCTGAGGTCAAAGAGGTTACCCAAGGTCATTCAGCTGAAGAATTGGCAGGGTCAAGTTCCTGTACCCCAAGATCCCAAAGTGAGGCCTCCCTGGGCATCAAAATGAGCTGCTCAGGGGCACAGGAGCAGAGCACTCCGCCCTGGTGTTGTAAGTGTCCCTCTCAGCCTTGATTCGGTGACTGGTTTTCTCTCAACTGGCAAGGATCTCGGGATTTACAGAAATTTACCCAAGCCATCAGAGAAAGAGGACACCCAAGTTGTCAGAGACCCTCTACCTCCTACAGAGAAAAGATCCCAATGCCCTTCACCTTGGCCGGCCCCCTCCCACATCCCCACCCACGTCCCCACCCCTCACCAAAGCTCCAGGCAGAGAGGAAGGCGCCTGCTCTCCCACAAAGGGCACTTGTGGTTTCCCTCCTTGCGCAGCATACGGCTTGGGCGGGTCTTTCAGCTCCTTCTCATAAGGTAAGTGACTTTAGTTTCTCTGCCACAAGTGAATGTGGGGCAAGGAGCTGAAACTTCCTAGGCGTTCCAGGGACTTGCCCTGGAATTAGCCCTGTGCCCACGGTTCAGACATCCCAGCTGTGCCCAGCGGATCCCCGAGCAGCAGAGCCTTCGCGCCCGGTGTTCGCCCTCACTGGCCAGCCATGCCCCGGCAACTCTCTGCAGTGGTGGTGCTCTCCGTGTCCCTGGCTGGTGAGTGACACACACGGCTTTCCGTGGTGGCCTTTGCCATATCTGATTTTTTAAACCTAAATTCATTCTGATGCCCCTAACCAAGCATCGACGGGTCAGACTGTAGATATGGCTTCTGCCTGTAGGTGTTTAGATCAAGGACGTCTCCAACCTTCAGTTTTTCCAAGGGTTTTCACAATTTGGACGTGTTGCCTGGGCATTAAGCAGAGTAGGCATCAACTCCAGAGCACAGCCTCTCTGTTGCTTGAACATGGGTTGTGGGCTTGAACATGGGTTATGGGCATCTTATCAAGGGCATCCGTAGAAATCACTTAGATTCAGGAGAGGGAGAATTGAGCTAGAGCTCAGAAATGGGGCTCTCATTTTGTTATCTGTTTAAAGAAGTCATCTCTTCCTTTTCCTGTTTTTCTTAAATAACAGTGCTATGTTTATATTATATAAACAGTGAACTGTCAAGATGCATCTCATGTGGTCTAACAATCGCTCTGCTTAAGAAAGGTGTAAACCCAGTGTCAAAGATTTTTTAAAAAAATATAGTACCATTGGGGCTGGGACTGTAGCTCAGTAGTAGAGTGCTTGCCTAGCATGTGTGAGGCACTGGGTTCGATCCTCAGCACCACATAAAAATAAATAAAGGTATTATGTCCATGTACACCTAAAAAAACAAATTAAATATATATATAAATATATATACTAAATATACTAAATATATAAATATTATATATATATATATATATATATATATATATATATATATATATATACTGCCATTGCACTTTGGCTCAGAGAGGCCAAATGGGATGATAAATGTGTAATTATTATTTGATGTCCTGAGTCCCTGCTTTCACCAAAGCACTTTCTTCCCAGGACATGGAGTCCTCTTAGGTGCTGTGGTTCTGTTCCTGGTATCAAATTTGCCTGTCAATTCCCAGTTTCCCACCTAGAACCACTGAACGTAGCATATGAGAGAACTAACTCTGTCCACACTGCCCTGTTGGCACGCTCAAGTGCAAGACACAGTGGTCCCTGGTGCCCCATGAATATTACGAATATCTTGAAACTGTGCGAGGGTCATGCCAGCTCCTGTGATGCAGGCTGTTTTCCTTTGTGCCGTGCTTTGAGAATTATACTTTTGTGTTCTTTGGGATATAGAAAAAAAATAACTTGGGCTGGGGTGTAGCTGAGTGGTACAGCTCTCACCTAGCACTGGTGAGGCCTTAGGTTCCATCCCCAGTACCATGGACAGAAAGGAAGTAAGGAAGAGAAAAAGAAAAAAAAAATGATCACTACAGGCTAATACAAAAGCAAACACACTCTACCTGGCCCCTGTAATGATGTGTATGAGCGCCAACTGAATGACTGACAGATGCAGGCACACAATGAGTGTGGCCAAGTGCCAACTAGGCAAGTGAGGGCAAATGCCCTTTCCTTTCTGAGCTGTAATTCTCAGTGTGAAGGGATGAAAGAAGTGTGAGGATCTTCCTCAGGGGTGAGCCATGAGCCACATCTGGCAATGGGGCAGGTCAGTGCCCCAGGATTCAACCCTTATCAGCAGGGAGGCCTTGTTTCTATAAACAGACCTTTCAGCTATTTAGTTTCCTCACTGAAAAGTGGAGAAAATAGTGTCTTCTCCCAGGAGTGCTGGGAGGACAACATGAGAGCAAGCCAGTAAAACAATTGTGAAAGTGCTTTGCTTGACTGGGTCGGTCCCCTTCCTGTATTTTTCTCCCCATGTCCCTCTCTCCAGTCATCTTTGCAACCCCCCTCCCCCAGCACAGGGCTTATGGGCACAGAGTGACCGCTACTTCATGTTACTTTCTGTAGGCCAGTATTGTTGTGAGCTCTTTAAACCTTATAACAGGGTCTCACTAGGTTGTAAGTACTGGTAACATCTCCATTTTGCTAATCAGAAAGCAGAAGCACAAAATGATTTAAAATTTTGCTAATGGTCACAAAGTACAGATTTGAGCTTTGAACCATAGCCATGCTCATAGCAGATAAGCTAAGGGCTCCATATGTGCATCTACTTGCCTATATTAATTCATCTAGTTTCATTAAGAACTCTGAAAAGTAGGTGTTGTTCTCTTCCCCAGTTTACAGATAAGGATCCTAAGATAGGGGCAGGCTAAGTAATTGTTCATGGACTCCCTGTTAGTAAGTGGCAGCCCTGAGATTGCCGTCCATGAAGTCTGGCTTTGGGATTCATGCCCTGAACTACTGCACTACCCAACCATATGTGCAGAGGCTCAAGAGATACTTGTTGCTGGGCAAGGTGGCACACACCTGTAATCCCAGAGGCTTAGGAGATGAGACAGGAGGATCACAAGTTCAAAGTCAGCCTCAGCAACCTAGCGAGACCCTGTTCAAAATAAAAAGATCTGGGGATGTGGCTAAGTGATTAAGCCCCTCTGGGTTTAATCCCTGGTACCAAAAAAAAAAAAAAATTGTTGAATTGGAGATTAGCTAAACTATTAGACATCTTGCTAGGAAAGATATAGCTCCTAGGTAAACTAGATGAGTAATCTTTATCTAAAACTTTTGTTTCCCTGGCCTCAAATTCCTGCTTCAGAAAACGAGAAGATTTAAATTAGTATCTGTTAAGTTTAGGTTCACCTATATAAAACCAACAAGCCCAAAATGACAATGGATGAAACAGATAGATTATTGTTTGTAACTCTCTCCTGTGAAAACAAATCAGAGGAATTCAGACCTGTTCTAGCATATGGGCTCATCTTCAGGTACCCACCGTCTTGTGTGACTTTCACCGTCAAGGTCTCCTGGTGGTTCTGGATGTGTGCTAGAGCTCCAGCCAACAAGTTACAGGATTGTTGAAAGGAAAAAAGATGGGCAACAGAGAGGCAGGCCACCCAGGTGACTGAGGTCCCTTCAACCAGCCTTCCTGGAAGGCCCACATAACCCTGTTGCTTCTATTGCCTTGGCTAACACTTGATCATGTCCCCACTCAGAAGGGAGAGTTGGATGAAGGGCTTTTTACTCCAGGAAACAAGTGTTCAGATTAAACTCAGCATTCTGTTCCTAAGGAACAGAGGAAGACAAGATTTTGAAATAGTCAGCCAGCAGTCTCCACCCTTCTGTTCTAGGGCATGACCGGCTCTGCTATAGCTGCCCCAGGAAGTACCAAGCAAGGTGCTGGGGTCAGGTGCTAAAATCTGGTTCCCTGCTCCTGTACTTGGGGTCAGGACTCCAATTACCCCCCGACTCTGCTCCTCAGAGGCCTGCAGACAAAATGTGTCCTCCAAGGCCTGTTCCTGCTGACTATCCCTGCTTCCCCAGGCTCTCTTCCTGTCCTCCCAATATCCCAGGCCTCCAAGCCTCACGGCACAGCACATCTCCTCTTCCTGTCTGGAGTACCTTCTATCTTGTCTGCCCAAAGAATTTCACCCTATACTCCCCTGGCCCCCTGGGACTGTTTCAATAATAACACTTGTCACCCTGAGGAGTATAAAGGATCTGCATCTGCCTCACAAGGCTTTGAGCCTCCAAGAACAAAGACCCAGCCCCAGTGCTGGGCATGGAGCCTACCTTCAGAGGAGGGCTCTACATACCTGTTTAGTTGAGTGTGGCAGGAAACCAACCAAAGTCTGTCTGGAAAGGACCTGTGGGGTGGGGGGGTGGGGGGACTAAAGAAGTGGTCATCCTGAGCCCCTGTGTGGCCACTGACTTTCCCAGGGACTGGGCAATGACTCAGCTCTCAGCTCTTCCTGCTGGTTGTAGGGGAACTAAAACCTTCTCACACCTCTTCCTGTTAACAGTCTCTTAGAAGAGTCAGAGCAATGGATCTAGGCCCTGGGGTATTCGTTTGCTGGGCCTCCTGAATCCTGGACAGCAAATTCTGGGGTGGGAGTGGAGGTGGGGGTTGGCAGATTAGCATGTGAACTCCAATGCTATGTTCTTTTGAGTAGAGGGAGGGTCAAGACAGATTCTGAGCTATGCCCTGCCCTCCATCCTGTCCCCTGCCCTCTTTTTGGGCAGACAGAGCAGTGACCTTGACCTTTACTAAATCTCTAGGGGGTGAGGTTCCCATTTGAAAAGTATGCCCACTTTCAAAGACCTGAGGACTTCCTAGAGGCCCTACCTCCTGAAGATTTCAACTTGTGAACTTTTGAAGGTTTCACCAAGAACCACCATTATGAGAAGCTGGTAAATTAGGGTCACTGCAAAGGACCTCTCTCCTGTGATTTTGTCTCTGCATTCCCCAGTCTTCCCAGCCACACACTATACCTTCACACTTCCCCAAATCCAAATACAGGCTTTGATTCAGATGTACAAGAACTTGAGTCTCACCTCCAACATTGACAAGTTGTACAATTACAATCAAGTTGATGAAATTTTGTAACCCAAGTTTCTGCTTTTGAAAAATGGATAAAGATAGTTTCTACCATAGGATTTTTAAGAAGAGTTCATTAAAAAAACAAAAACAACAACAACAACAAAAAAAAACCTTTGATCTGAGGCCTCCAAGTAGTAAATGTCCTGTAATTTGGTAATTTATTGTTATTTATTAATAAGAGGAAAGTAACCACTTAGAAATGTATTGAATGGAAAGAGATAAAAGGGTGTTTATGGATCATTTTTATTATATATGATTATTAGGACTTTATAAATACCAATGTAGAACCTTCTCCTTTCCCTTTCCACATGCTTTCCTAAGTCTCAGCCCAACATCTGGAAACAATGGCTCCAATGAGTGTCTGAATAAATACAATGAAACCACAGAATTGGAGGACAGAACTCTCTCCCAGTGTAACTGATCAGACTCCCAAGGACATTTTTTTTTAAAACCTGAGATTAAACCCAGGAGCACTTAACCACATGAGCCACATCCCCATTCCCACCCCTCCCCACTCTTTTTTTAGAGAAAGGAACTCATTAAGTTGCTCAGGGTCTCCCCAAGTTGCTAAGGCTGGCTTTGAACCTGCAATCTTCCTGCCTCAGCCTCACAAGTTTCTGGGACTACAGGTGTGTACCACCACACCCGGTTCCCAAGGTTCCCAAGGTCATTTTGAGCCTGTGCTTTGCATACTTTTCTGGATTGTTATATGCCTAGAGAAAGCAAAGATAGAACCTCTCTAGCTGAAAGAAAGCCAAAGCTCTTTCATGCTGAAGGACACCCCCAGAAAAAACTGTGACTACAGTAGACACCATATATGTTCTCAGTAGTCTTGAAGGCTTTCACTAAAACCAACTCACTTGAGCCTTATGATAGCCCTAGACCTATAAGGCTATCATCCTCATTTATCCATTGGGTCATTTATTCATTCAGCTCAGATTTACTGAACACTTTCTACACACAGGCACTGGTGGTGAAATTATACACATAAGTTCCCACCTTTGGTGACTTTTAGTCTAGTAAGACATGTGCAAACATTAATAAACCAATAAATACATGTTTTTTCAGGGCTGAAATTCTGCTTGTACCCACTGGCCAGGCAGATCACTAGTCTTAATTCCAATACCATCTGTGGAAATAATTACAAATTGTAATTCGTACAATGAAAACAATGAATATAATGTTGAGATGGAGAATCATGGGGGTTGGGACCTGTTTTACATAGGACAGGGAATACCATCTGAGGAGCTATCACGAAGGACAGGCCTCCTAAAGAGTCAGAGCAATCACACCTTAATTTTCCTTTTTGGCTGAGAAAGACTGGGCCATACAAAAGCTTAAGAAAAACGACAGGAATTGGTTTATATTTAGAAAACTTATGATTGGCAAGATAAAAGTTGAAGGGGATTATATTGTGAAGAAATGAGTCTCCCATCATTAGGGGAAATTAAGCATAGATCAGATGAACATAGAGCAAAGATTCATAGGTTTAATTCATGCATCAGATTAGAGTTTGGACTCCATGACATTTAAATTCCCTTTCAAACCTGGGATTATATGATTCTATGAGAACTATAAAACTCTGGGCCGGGGTTGTGGCTCAGTGGTAGAACACTTGCCTAGCATGTGTGAGGCACTGGGTTCAATCCTCAGCACTGCATATAAATAAAATAAAGATTCATCAATGTCTAAAAAAAATTTTTTTAAAAACCCTCTGTATATTTTATTACCAATAGACATGCTGCCGGGTTCCATCAGAACATCACAGCATCAGGAGCACTATTTGATGTCAACTGTCTGGTTTTACATTTAAAGGTGGAAAATGAAGAGGCGTACACACCTAGAGCTCTAGCTGAGTGTGATCACTTTAGGGTGCATGAGTGCCACATCCTGTGTACACAAAGAGGCTGACTGCAGAGGAATGTCAGAGCTTGTAAATTTCCCTAAAATCTAAAAACATGTATATTGTCTTTTTTCTTAAAAACCAACATTAAGATGGGAATGGAAGAGGAAACTTGTAAGCAATTGATGTTTTGACACTCTTGTTTCCTAATTTGCAGTTATTTTACATGATGGCCCTCCAATAAGAGCAACAGCATTTCCAGAAAGCAGACACCATCTTCAACCCACGGAAGTAGCAACAGGACAGATCACAGCAAAGCTAACTCACCAAGGGCCTCACAAAGCAGTGGCAGCAAGATCAATGGAGGGTCACATCACCTCTCCAACAGCTGTCAAAACCTCCAACTCTGAGAACCCCAGAAACACAACGATGAAAACTCCACCTGCTACCCCAGTAACAATAAAAAGTAACCCTTCCGCCAGTCCAGTGACCTTCACCCTGGCCACACCCAACAAGTCACACCCAGTTACCGAAGCCACCATTGGCCCCACCTTGACTCTTTCAGAGTCACCCATCACACCACCAGCCCCTACAGCTGGAACCAGTACATCTGCTGTCAGCCACACAACTAGGAAGACCATCCAACCCAGTGAACAGACCACTCTCCCCAAAACTTTGTCTACAATACCTCACAAAAGCACAACCAGTCCGAAGCCTAGTCCACTCACCCATGCCCCGGGAACATCCCCAGGGTCACACAATGTCACCCAAACAATCCCACCTGCCACCATAGTTCCTGGGCCCACCCTTGTACCTCAGCCATCACCAGCCAAGACCGGAGTTTACCAAGTTCTAAATGGAAGCAGGCTCTGTATCAAAGCAGAGATGGGGATACAGCTGATTGTTCAAGAAAAGGAGTCGGTAAGTTGGGGCCATAAGATTATAATGCCACCTTTAAAATCTGTGAGTGGAATTTGCCTTGCTAGGAATGCACAATCCCCTGCATCTGGTCCTTAAATGAAATATATAACCATGAGCTCATTTTTCTCCAAGGTGTTCCTTTAAAAGGCAAATATGTTTTAGAGAACATACAAAAATAGAGAGAAGGCTGGGGTTGTGGCTCAGTGTTAGAGCACTCGCCTAACATGTGTGAGGCCCTGGGTTCAATCCTCAGCACCACATAAAAAATAAATAAAATAAAATAAAGTTATCATGTCCATCTATAACTAAAAAATAAATATTTTTAAAAATAGAGAGGAAGGCACACAATGAGAACTTCAATACACATACTCTGACTTCTAGCTAACTCAGCATTGTAGGGAGTGGTGAGTGGGGTGCTGGCCACACCCCTCTGCCTGACTTTCCCTCAGCCTCTTACCAGAGACATGAGACATTTGAATCAGACACTCTCCACAGTTCTGGCCACCATGATATTAATATGAAAATCCAGGTTAACAAAAAGATTGGGTCCAGCGCGGTGGCATACGCCTGTAATCCCAGTGGCTCTGGAGGCTTAGGCAGGAGGATTAGGATTACGGGTTCAAAGCCAGCCTCAGCAAAAGCAAGGCACTAAGCAACTCAGTGAGACCCTGTCTCTAAATAAAATACAAAAAGGACTGGGGTTGTGGCTCAGTGGTCAAGTGCCCCAGAGTCCAATCCCTGGTACCACCTCCCCCCAAAAAAGAATGGAGTGGCTGGGACTCAGTGATAAAGTGCTTACTTCGCATGCGTGAGGCACTGGGTTTGATCCTCAGCACCACATAAAAATAAATAAAGATACTGTGTGTTCATCTACAAATAAATAGATATTTTTTAAAAAAGAATGGAGAGAAGGGTTAAAATTAATTGATGTATAAAGAAATCAGAGAATGATTCTTTTGTACAGTTAAGTAAATTCACAGTATTCTTAATTTATGGACTTAACTCTTTTATAATTATGTGTAGATTTTTTTAAATATCTGATCATTCAGCAAAATTATTTAGCATCTACTCTCTATATAGAAATCTTTATAAGATGGGTTATAACAATTTGTTTTTTGTTAAATACATTATGGTCATTTAAACCAACCCTGCATGTACAGGATTCAGATTTTTTTCAAAGAAAGAAGTTGTTAATTTTTGGTTTAGTATATTAAAATAAACTGTCATTGCTACAAAAATAAAGAAAGAAATCAACATAAAATAAAACCTTCCTTTTTCATAGTTTTTATGATTTCAAAGAAAACTTCCATACCCAGATTTTCATTTGAAAACAGGAGTACCCCAGAACACAGATCCTTCATCTTTCAACTTGCTTAATTGAACAAAATTTAAATTCCACAAGTTTATCAAGAATATTTCCACCACAAGCCACCTGTCAAGGAGCTCCTGTCACAGGCAAATGCCTTCTTGAAGAAAGCTTTGGAGCATGAGTTTGGAAGGGAGAGGATGTCATCCATCTGAGGTCTTCCCAGTTCTCAAGCGAATGTCCACTTAGTTCATTTACTAGTCTGTGCTTCGACTCCCTTGCTCGAATTTTCTTCTATCTCTCATTAAGTTGATCTTTCTTATTCGGTTTAGGCTTTTTCACCTCCGAGATACTTCAACATCGACCCCAACACAACCCAAGCCTCTGGGAACTGTGGGTCCCGAAATTCCAGCCTTTTCTTGAATTTCAAGGGCGGATCTGTGAATTTCACATTTACCAAGGTAAGGTGTGGGGTTCTTCTTACCAGCTGGCCCCAGTGTGGCTTTGCCTGTCGCCCTACCCCTAGCCCTGCCCTGGGGCCTGGTGATGCAATGCTTCACCTCTGTCCAAGACTCAGCAGAAACAGACCTCAGAGCCTTTTGAGATCTTTGCTGATAAGAATGAGGAGTGTGGGGATGGAGAGGAGGGAAGTGTCGACATTGTATGTTTGCTTTCATCCCCCTTCAGCCTCCTCTGTGCAGGCCAAGACAGACTTTAATGCCTCTCAGGGGAGGCTTGGCTTTTGGGGAACCTAGCCTCCAGTGCCCCTTGCAAACCACCAAAGGAGGAAGTTGTACACACGAGGAGATCTAGAAAAATTCCCAGTGAACCCCAGATTCAACAGGATTATCCTACGTCCTAAACCAAATGTCACAATGGGTTCTTTCCAACCACAGAAGGTAAAATTACAGGATTAATCAGGTTCTGGGTTTTCCAGAACATATTCAGGAAGGGGTAGACTACAGCATAGAGTGGACAGGGCATGGGTGCTGAGGTCAAGAGAGGCAGCTGCCAATTTGACTCTGTCACATGCTCTTCTGACACTGAGCAGGTACTTTAACCTGACTAAGCTTTTATTTTATTATTTGAAAAAAAAAAGTGGGAAAGGAATTAGTGATCTATCAAATGCATGCCCAGCTCACAGTAAGTGGCAGAGATTGATAGCCATCAGCTGTCACAGCAGTGACTTAATTAGGCAAATGTCCTGGAAACCAGAAAATCTTATCATCCTACTCTCCAGGGAGAGATTTTCCCCAAGGTCTCTTTCAAATAGGCCAAGTAAGAGCTCAGCTCAGGCCAGTTGGGGGCCTGCTTCCTCATCTGTAAAATAGCAATAATTAGACCCACCTGATAAAAAACCCTTTTAAAGATTGTAAGTGATATATGTAAATTGTCTAGCACAGAGCTTGGCACATAAGAATTGTCAAATGACAAAATGATAAGAAATCTAGTTTAAAGATCTGAATGATCTCTCATTTATGACTCTAGATTGGCCAACACCTCATTCTATCAGAGAGAATGAGGGTTCTGGTGAGCTGAGCAGAGGAGATTAACTTTATGGACAGAAGAAGAGGGAGGAAAGCAGAAAGAGAACAACATGCAAATCAGTTATTTCAAAGTTACTTTTCTTATAAAGGTTAAAGTAGAGGGGACTTCCTCATTGTGCCACCCAAAACTAGCTTGTGTGAGGATTTGGCTACTATCTCTTTCTCTCTATCTGGATTTCTGGGAAGATCAGATAAACAACTTGGTTTTGGCTTGGTGGCCTGAAACTTCAGCATGAGTAACTCCATTGTGGTTGGGTCTGTTGAACCTGGAGCAGGAGCTCAGTCCAAACCAGTGGCCTCCTAAAAATTTTATTTAATACCCTTATTTTGTTCAATAAAGGGTGATTTGTTGATTTATTGTTGCTCTTGTTATTAACTTAATCTCCTAGGGCTTTATTCTCCTGTTGTATACTTTTCTGATCAAGGCAGACCTGCTTTGGAGAAGTCAGGGATTTCTTTTTGGTACCAAATGCTAAAGATATAGTTCTTCATCCCAGAAGACCACTTAAAGCAGAATTAATGCTCCATCTCTGGGCAACTGAAATTAAACTTTAGAGGTGTCAGGAATTTCTTTAAGACTCACCTTGAAAAAATGGTAGGGGCTGCAGACATAAGCATTTATGCTCCAGTACAGGGTTCGCTTCCACCTGAACCACTGCTCAGAACAATGTGTGAAGGAATAATTGCTGAGAGGAAGGTATCCAAAACCTCCAACACTTGTCGGTGTCTCATTATGGCTGCTGCCACCAGGCCTGAGGGAGAATTGCCAATCAAAGTTTCCTTGGCTGCCTTTCAACCTCTCTTTTTGTTAAGTCCCCCTGTCTCCTGATGCTCTGACCCTGCCTTTCCAAGGCCTTCAGGCTGGACTCTGGTTAACCAAACTCCACCAGAGTGTAGAATCCCTGCCTTTCTGAAAATCCTCTGTGCTCCACATTTTCTCTCCCTGCAGAGGTATGGGCAGGAAATGAGGGCCCAGATGAAGCTAAAAGCACCAACAGGCCTCCTTCCTCCCTGCCTCACCCACCTTTTGGAAGCCACTCTCCATCTGTGGCCCCAAGGTGTTGCACTAATTGCTTTGCCGGAATCTCACTAGCCAGCCCACTTTAGTTACTGTATCCCCAGCACAGATTCCCAGGCAGTTGATTTGGTTTCAGCATAGGAGGAAGCAAAGAAGCTTCAAGAAGGTAAAATTTGAGCTGGGGTTGTGGCTTAGTGGTAGAGCACTTGCCTAGTATGTGTGGGGCACTGGGTTCAATTCTCAGTACTGCATATAAGTAAATAAAATAAAGGTCCATCGGCAACTAAAAAAAAAATTCAAAAGAAGAAGAAGAAGAAGGTAAAACTGCCTGCCAGCCTGGGAAGTTTCTGCATTTGTTTAAGAATTTGTTTCAGCCAAACAGGAACTCCAAGTTCAAGGATTGTAGAAGCTAAGCATAGAACTCAATGAATGAAGCAAGCTAATAAAAACATTTTTCCCCTGGAAACAGGTAGTCTCATGTTTTTAACTTTTAAAATGCTTTAATTAGAGATAAGAAAGATTTAATTTTCCCCTTAATCTAATAAGAAAAACGTGAAGGTAAGCATGAAATGACAAGTGACAATAGACCATGCCTCAGTAATGAGGAGACACATGGGAGGAAGAAGAAAATGTCCACGTCCCCAGAGGCAGCCACCACTCCTCAGCTCCAATCACAGTGCCAATCGCAGGGTCCATCCATTGGGGAACCTTGATCCGGAAAGGCCAGGTGTCCATTCTGAGTGGCTTCCTACTGTGCCAGTTGTTAAATATTTGACACACACTTCTTTCAAGTGGTAACAAGAGGCCAATGTTTCCAGCTCTTCTGATTGTTCAAGAAAAGGCAGAAATTCAGATCTTTAGGTAAAAAAATATTTGTTTAAGTGTTGGTAACACGTTTAAAATATTTGAACACATACTGACCAAACAAAACAAGCTAGATTTATCTTATGGACCCTGATGTTGTAACTTCTGCCCTAATAGATGTATTATATGAAATACACAGCAAGAAAGCCTTTCAGATTTTTCCAAAAGAAAAATGGGCTCTACAGTTCAATCTGTCTCTTTTCAAATGTTGCTGCTTTCTGAATTTACATTTCTCAACAGCAGCAGTGTTAACTTTTGAGGCCAGATAAATTGTCATCTTGGGGACTGTCCTGTGCTTTGTCAGAGGTTTAGCACCATCCCCGGTCTCTACTCAGGAGGTATCAGTAATAGAACTTGACACCTAAAATGTGTCCAAGTGACAATACACCATGCCTCAGTAATGAGGAGACACACCCTACGAGGCAAAATCACCCTTGAGAACCACTGCTCTAGAGAAAAGGAGGACCTTAGAGAATGACTTTATGTTTCATTATATTATAGTAGATGTTACAAGAACCGAGTTGTAAGATACTTATGAGCAGGCCTAATGCATTGACCCATTCATCAGTAAGAATTTACCGAATATCCACTTTGTCCTATTGGAGAGGAAATGTAATTTTTTTTGCAAACCTCATAAATCTGTTCCCATAAGTTGGAGACAAAAGATAGACTAGTGAGAGGAAAACAAGGCCATTTATTAATGTGTACTGTGTACATTGCTCAGGAGAAACCTCCAGGAAAGATAACTCAAAGCCATGGCTTAGAACTCTGGCTTATAACATCTTCAACAAAGAACAATAAATTTTAGAGATGTGACAAGACAAAAAAAAAAAAAGCTACTTTAGGCTTTCACAGGTAGGAAACTGTGGTAAGGTAAATATATGGGGAAACTACTGGTAGATAAAGGCTAGTTAGTAAGATTGATTTTGTAGATTCTTCTGATGTGGTTCCCAGCTGATGTGGGTCTCCAGTGGTCTCCAGTGACTCACTTTCGTCCTTCTTGGTAAATAGAGAAGAAAGTGATCTCTAAAAGTTTATATCTTGCCTTTAGGGACCTGGGGGAAGGCAGAGAATTCTTCTGCACCTGCTTCTTCTTAACTGTCTTTAGCTCAAGTACACACAGAGTGGGGACCCATGGTCCAGTGAACAATGAACCAGGTATAAGGGAGAATATAAAAGAAATGAAGGCTATAGTTCCGAGTTTCAAATTATGTCTAATAATTTGCAAATTTTTTTAATTGAAATACTACTAGTGACAACAACATAAAGAAAATTATGTCCCTACACAGTGGGGACCCATGGTCCAGTGAACAATGAACCAGGTATAAGGGAGAATATAAAAGAAATACAGGCTCTAGTTCCGGGTTTCAAATTATGTCTAATAATTTGAAAATTTTTTAATTGAAATACTACAAGTGACAACAACATAAAGAAAATCTGCTTTCTGAGGTGCCACCTAACCCTATTATTCTTCAATTAGACCTCTCATTTGCTCTGTGACCATGAACAGATTGTAAGCTGTTCTGCACCTCTTTTCCTCTTCTCTAAGAGTGGGTGGGTAAGAAAAAACAAATTTTGAAATGTTCTAAATTTAACTACAAGGGCCATAGTTGCTCAAGCCAAACCCCCCTCCCCCCCCAAAAAAAAGAAGCTCATTTCACAATCCTGAATGTCTATTAAAACCTTCACTCAAATCCCATCCCCACCCTCTAAGAGCCACCTCATTCTGCTTTCAGCTGCAGCCAATCCAGACCCAACCATCACTGTGCCTTATGGACTGTGCTATCCCCAAGCTTTCCCTGTTTCACATTGTCCTGCCCTCTTTATCTATAGCCAAGATAAAGAGGTTCTTGGCATAAAGGTTAGCTAGTGAGATCAAAATAAACACCCAGACTCAATTACCTTTTTCTATGACCAGGTCCCAGATGGCTCTCACCTCTCTGGCTCACACCTCGAACCACCCGGTAGGGCAGCAAGGATTACTCAGGGCTAGCAGGAGAGAGAGAGAGAGAGAGAGAGAGAGAGAGAGAGA